ATATATATATATATATATATATATATATATATATGTGTGTGTGTGTGTGTGTGTGTGTGTGTGTGTGTGTTTGTGTGTGTGTGTGTATAAACACAGACACACAAATGAAAGAATGAACAGATTTATAATCAGATTTATAATTCTCTGACATTTAATTTTTTAAAAAGTGCCCAATATAATGTAGAGCATAATATTAGATCAGCGAAATGAGCTTATAGCCATATGTAGCCATTACAATTATATATCCATTTTTTATTGTATATTATGGTACAAGTAATATTAATTTAATTCCTTGATTTTTAATTTTAAGTTGTATATTAAAAAGACATAATGCATAAAATGAAAATTGTATTTTGGTTCAAGAATATATAAGAATGTTTTAATCATACCAGAGGCCCCTTTATATATGTGTTAAAATAATTTTTTAAAAACCAGAAATTACCTCATCGTCAGGGATATGCATATCTCTAAAAATGTTTCTTCGTAACTTAAATGTATACTTTTTGCCGGAAGTAATGTGACGAGCCGTTAATATGACAGTTCCCCCAACATCTAACCTATATTTTTAACTTTTCAAATTTACCCTTGACCTTCCTTCTGATTAGTTAAACTTGACACGCAAATAAGATCTAAAAATCTGGGTTCCTCCCTCCATATTAACTCTTTAATGAATAGACATATTGCTTTTCAAATGTAAATCATTTTCGCCAAAGTTACCGAACATTTCCCGATGACGAGATAAAAACTATAAGTCTCGAAACAGAAATTTGCGTGTCGCAATGTAAAATATTGTTAATATCATTAATTATTTGTATATATATATATATATATATATATATATATATATGAAGAAATATAGTCTTAAGGTGTGGTATATTTATGGGATAAAGTGCTCGATATCAGAGATAGAGCGTGTGTAAATATAAAAGTGAACATAGAAGTCAACACTTAGAGGCGACAGTCTGTTTCATGCTATATGCAATAGTTAGGCCACTGACGATTGCATATAGCATGAAATGGTGGCCTGAAGATTGCATATAGCATGAAAGAGACTGTCGCCTCTAAGTGTTGACTTCTTTGTTTATATACTATATATATATATATATATATATATATATATATATATATATATATATATGGAGATGTTAGGTATTGTGTGTGTGTGTGTGTGTGTGTGTGTGTGTGTGTGTGTGTGAAAATTAAGATATAAATAAAATATATCTGTAAAAGTCAATATTTCCTTGACCGACCCTTTTTCTCCATTTAAAGACTTTATCAAGGCAAATGTAAAGATTTTATTTTGCAACTTGTATATATAAATAGAAGTACAGTGGACGAAAATATCGTTACGTTTTCAAATTTTTAATTTAAGAACGTTCTAAAATATTCTTAAAACCAACTGTATGAGGAAAGGTAAACTATGTGGTACTGTGATGCGACTTATTTTTATCACGTCGGGGTCACCACTTGTGATGCGTATTCCTGACGTTTGTGTAATAAATGATTCAAGTCAAACAACGAAACTCCATATGTGGATCAGCAAAATAAATATATATTGAAATATAACATGCAAAACAATCATGCAATAAAGTGTAATGATTAAGGAAAAAAAGTTGTTCCGTTTCAACTGTATTCTGATTTATGATTGAATGTTCGAAAGAATTTCTCGTGAAAAAGAATGTTCAGGATTCTATATTGAATAGAGTCTGCTGTTAGAACAGAATACAGTTAATTAAAAAATGTGTTGTTTTGGGAAATTAATGGATTTCTGGTTCATGAACTTGGCTGAGAGAGATACGTATAATGTGTGTGCGTTAGAAATGTGAGTAAAGTCGTAGATTTGCGTGGACAGGCGAAAATAGCCGGACTCTACTGGCGACTTGCGTGAAAGTCGGTAAAAGTTGTTGGCAATGTTCTTTAACGTCTGACCGCACGTTTAAGACGGGGGCTCTTGTAGATTACATCTTGGCAGCAAGGAAAAAGATGAATGAAGATAACACGAAAGAGGCTTATTTGTGTTTTGTTTATATAAGGCTGTGTCTCACGTGACAGGCTCCAGCCTTTATCGCGGGAAAATTATTCCTCGCGGGCAGGCGATTTGATTGGTCGGAATGGACCAATCAACAAGCTAGTTTTGAGGAGATTAGCCAATGAATGCTTGCCGTATGATCTGTATGTATGTATGTATGTGTGATGGTGATGATGATCGCTACAGTACTTTACATGGCGTGATTCATTGCGTAAAAACGAAAGTGAGAAAATGTTGTTGGATTCTTATTTATCTATATATTTATCTATGTAATTATTATTTATTATTTTATTTTAATTTCATAAATTATTTATGTATTTGAGATATTCAATTTTCTTAAGATAACCATTGTCTTTTAATTCTTTTAAATTTTAATGTTTATGCATATTGTCTTGTTAACTGTTGGTTTTCCCAAGCCAAAACACATGCCCATCAAAATTATTTCTTATTACTTTATATTTAGTGGAAACATGTTTTTCAGTAGATCCATGATTTCTGAAATTTTCTGAAATTTGCATCTGCCAGCCTCTGCATTCGAGAATCCAGCGTCCGCTTCTAGGAGAAAATGTCCGTTAAGACCAGTGCATTTTAGAGAGCTTAGCCACGGAAAACTTACAGCCAAATTTCAATTACTATATTTACGAAATGTACATCTCTAGATCTGTTTAATTCCGATATTATATTGTCCATAAAAATATCTGATTTGATTGTATCTACGACCCACAAGAATATAAAGTTTCCCGCCCATTTCCGCACAAACATTTTGTGTTTTGCACGTTATTAGAAATGTTAGGGAAACCTGATTTACTCCCTATATAAAGGACGATAACTCAAAATACTATTGAGCTACTTCCCTAGTCCGCTAGTTGGAGCGGGCACTTATGAATTCAACATGGCGGCAAGCTGACACGCATGTGGAATTCATGGTTTAAGTCCAAACTAATTCTTGCTGTTCTCCAGCAGTAAATGAGTAAAAGTTGTTTCATTATGTGTTAAAATACATTTCTCTTTTATTTTCATTTATTTTTGTTCATCCCAACAAACAATGTTCTCTATCCCGTCCATAAATTATAATATTTGACAGTGATAGTGGCTCTTATGTGTTATCATATATAGTATGGAACTGCAAGCCTAGTGAGTGGGGTAGATGGAAAACCTTGGGTGCCGTCGATAGCTGTGCTAACACGAAATCACAAGTCATCGTGGCCGAGGACTTGAGCATGCTGGCCTTGTTCAAATTGTTGATCACGCTAGATAACATACTCTTTCCTTGAAACTGTAACTAAGGTCTTCTCAGCATAGTTGCAGTATTAACCACAGGTGGGCTCTGTGGGTGTTGAATAAACACAAACGTGCCTGATCAAGTGTCTGCAGTAGGGATTGGCTAGCCGCCCTAGTAGACGGGTATCTTCGAATATGCGTAGCCAGCTATACATACATACATACATACATACATACTGCAAATCATGTGTGACCTGAGTTCAAATCTGTAATGTAATCCTATCAAACCAAGTTTACTTTCTTTTTTCACTCTATTGAGTGGTAATGATTGTCTCGCCTTCACCAAGTTTTCTTACAAATTCACATACAAGAGTCCTCATCAATAATATCCATTCATGAATTTTCACTTATAGTTAACAACTGCCTTACACGATATTTCTGATTCTCTATAACTGTGTCTCTCCATCGCAAAGTTCAGAAACCAACGCTGAGCTGAAGGTTGCGATAACAAATATATGTTCAATGACTTGCCTGTTGATAAATCTTGCATTGTTGGTATCTTTTATAGATGTTGGAAAAATGATCAATTCCTTGCACTGCTTCAAAAACTACATGACTTCTATGATGCTCTACCTTTACAAATATAAGATAAGACAAAAATGCAGTATTGTTACTGTAGGGAGACAACAGTTGTTTTCCCTTTGGTCGATGGCATGGGAGTTCAGTCACTTTAAAGAGGAGAATCTTTCCCTTTTTGCTTCATTTGGGGAAAAGTTAATACTTTCCTAACCACCGGAGCGTCTACCCATATGGAAAATGGAACAACACGTTAACAGTCTAGCGTAGAGAGAAAAATTATTTTGATTCATCTTGCTAAGAATAGTCAAAGAAAATAAGGCTTGTATGTTTATTTCTTTGTTCATTTATCTGTCAAACATTCTCGTTATTTGAACTGTGTGAACAATCATTTGTTTTGGAACACGTGGAAATCATTTTCATATGTGTATCTAAGTTGTATTTGTCTTATTAAATGTTTTCTTTAATATGGGCGTGTATTTCGTCTTTCTATACACACATTCACTGTTAGTGTATCAATGGCTACACTAATGCTAATGTTAGTACTTGGTGTACAGTTCCTAGCACTAAATAGCCGGTAAATTTTGGATGGCTTATAAACAATACTAATATTACCATAGCTCGGCTCGAGCTGTCCAATACTCACTTTAAAATCTTGACAGGGTACAACAGCGTCTACGCGGCCCTGTAAGTGATGAATTAGTTCCCATCATTCAGTCCTTCTCACACAAACAGAATATTGCTAGCTTATCACTTCTCTGTCGCTATTCTCATGGCAGATGTCCAGACGACTATTATTATTTAGTTCTACCAATCGAGAATTTCACAGAACCAACATGCCACGTACACTGGATCGACTCACCCCCATTCCCTTTGTATTTCATTTGTAAGGAGGAAGTTGCACTTAGATAGCTTCTTTCCTCAAACGGTTGTAATGTGGAACTGGCTCTCGAAAAGATGCTTCCCCGATCACTACGATCTTCAAGCCTACGGACAACCGTTATTTATCCTACATATCACTATGCACTTCTTACTTGTACTTTTTATGCTCATACAACAATCTCATACAGCAACCCTCTACCTTGAGTGGCACTTTGGCTTTGTATTGGGTGAATAATGACATAACAAATGGACTAAGTTTAAATTCATAGAAGAAAAATATGCCCTCGCTTCTATGACTTTCGCAAAACGTGGTCAAAATATTGGTGATTTCGCAACTACAGAGTTTTACATGGCATACACGACTTAGAATAATCTGCCTGTCTCTCTTTCTCGCTGCCCCTATATCTTTCTCTCTCTCTCTCTCTCTCTCTTTAGCTCTCTCTTTTTCGAGCTTTCTCTCTCTCTCGTTCCCTCTTTCTCTCTCTCTTTCCATAGCCCTCACTTTTTTCTCTCTCTCTCACTCTGTGTCTCTCTCTATAGCTCTCTCTTTCTCTCTCTTTCTTTCTCTCTCTCTCTCTTTCATTAGCTCTCTTTCTCGATCGTTCACTCTCTTTCTTTCTCCCTCTCTTTCGCACTCTCTTTCCCCTCTCTCTCGCTCTCTCGCTCACTCGCTTTCTCTTTTTCGTTCTTTCTCTCTCTCTCTCTCTCGCTCCCTCTTTCTCACTCTTTCCATAGCTCTCTCTTTCTCTCTCTCGCTCTGTCACTTTCTCTCTTTCTCCCCATAGCTCTCTTTTTCTCTCTCTTTCTCTCTCTTTCTTTCTATCTCTTTCTATCTCTCACTCTCTTTCTCTCTCTCTCTCTCTCTTTCATTAGCTCTCTTTATCGCTCGTTCACTCTCTTTCTTTCTCCCTCTCTTTCTCTCTCTCTCTCTCTCGCTCTCTCTTTTTCGTGCTTTCTCTCTCTCGCTCACTCTTTCTCTCTCTCTCTCTTTCCATAGCTCTCTCTCTCTTTCTGTCTCTCGCTCTGTCTCTTTCTCTCTCTCCACAGCTCTCATTTTCTTTCTCTTTCTCTCTCTCTATTTCTCTCACTTTCTCTCACTCTCTTTCATTCTCTCTCTTTCCTTAGCTCTCTCTCTCTCGCTCGTTCTCTCTCTCTCTCTCTCTCTCTCTCTCACTCGCTTTCACTAATAGGTGTCTGGGCCAAAATAAAACGTTGATCTCAAATTCTAGTTTTCAAAACAGAATTGCTGTCTTTCTAATCCATCTCATTTCGTTTGACCCTACACCAGATAGAGTCGAGATTAGTAAACATCTCCACTAATTATGACAGCTTGGTCCTTGTTCAGCTTGAAAAGTATATCATGGTTAACAAGTGTTGTTTGTATTCGGACAGACTAACATATAACGTAATGGGCCCATGTGGCATGCAAAGTACAACGCAAATGTCAACAAAAATCATATTATTTTCGTTTAAAATTCTAATGTCTGTCGGGCGTGCTGCCAAACCAAAATACGTGTTGGAGCAAAAAGAGTAAAATTAATAATTATTTTCACTTTCTAGGTGCAAGGGACATACAGTGCTATTATGTTTTGAGCTGAAATCTACTAAAAATAAGCAAACACTGATGGAGCGGCACCGCCCAGTTCATGGGGGAGACCTATTGAGGTGTAGTATTTCGAACAAGTTGTTAAAACGACCGCTGATCTTCTAGTTTCGTGCTGAGGAGCAGGGAACCACACATTTCATTTTATAGCAAAATGTGTTTTGCTTTGTTCCGACGTAAAATGGAAGGGGATTGACGTTGGGCATAAAAGTAGACTAGTGGATTAATGCGTTGGTTCGTTAATTTGGTAATTGTGAGTTCAATCCTAGAGCTGGGTAGTACAGACACAGACTCATTGAAAAGAGGGCGAAATTGAGAAATACTGTAAAAGAACAAGTCTTCATTCAGATAAACAATATGGCTTTCGCTTCTCTAGGTCAATTGCTGATCTGTTAACGATTTCTGTTGATAAAGTCTATCAAGCTTTAGATAAGAATGGTGAAGCAAGGGCTGTTGCGTTAGATGTCTCGAAGACATTTGACATTCTAGGTTTGGCAAACTGGTCTTCTTCACAAGTTGAAAGGTCAAGGGATTTCTGGACGAATTTCTGAACTGATTCAGTTTTTCTTTTCGAATGGCGAAATGGAAGTGATCTTGAACAGCCATTATTCTGAAGCAGGCATTCCTCAGGGCTCTCTCCTTGGACCTAATTTATTCCTAATTTTCATCAGTTCTCAACTCAGTATCTATGCTAATGACACAACCATTTAATTTTTCTTAGTATTAAGTCTAAAGGATTCGAATTGGCAGCTGATCTCAAAAAAGTGATTTACCGTAATCCCCCATGTATAATACGCCTTTTTTTTCTAAAAATAACAAACAAAATTAGGGGTGCGTATTATGCACACCTACAAAAAAATCTTCAAAAAATTGCCGTTTCATAGGTCGATTTCAGTTGTGAAATGACTACTCACCACAAGCATACAACAATTTGACACTAACATTCGGCGATTGCCTCCCCATAACGATGTCAAATACAATCTTATATATTTAACAATACTTACAGATGTTAAATAAAATAAGAATTATCATAAAACTAAATTAGAATAACATTATTCTATGTTTAAAACCATTTTGTGAAATGCTACATACAGATCCGGTATATTACACATTTTATCGAACAAAAACAGGCTAATGAGCCTGCGCAGTAGGCACAATATAAGTATTTCCGTTTCCTTTTAGAATCGTGATGAACGGAAATTTTGATAAATATCTTCAATTACAGCTTGAATAAGAGTATAAACGCAGACCGTAATGAAATTGGAGAGGTACAATTTATAGGATTTGATACCAAACAAGGAGTGCGTATTATACCTGATTAGAAGCATTTTCCAACACTTTCAGCACAATTTTAAGGGTGTGTATTATGGATGAAGGCGTATTGTACATGGGGAAATCCGGCACATTCTGTTGTGAACTATAGCAATGAAGGGCTTGTTAATTTTAACGCCTCCAATACAAAACTGCTTTCTTTTAATCAATTGAAAGAACCTTTTTTTTATATTCAATCACCACGGCTGATGCTAACCTTTAGTAGATAGTTTCATTGAGCCTCCTTGGACTAACGTTTATCCGCTGACATGAAGTGGAAAGATTATATTGAATAAATTGTTAGGGTTTGCAAATTGGTACACTATGTCGTGCTAGACAATTTTTCTCAGCAGAACCTTAGATATTTACAAGTCTACCATTCTTCCTTGAATATTGCTGCTCTATCTGGTGTGGTGCTCCTGTTAACATTTAGACATTCGTGATAAAAACCAAAGAAAAATCTGCAATGTTATTGGTCCTGAACTGTCATCTCGACGTCAGTCACTTTCCCTCGACCGTAAATTCCTTTTGTCTTTTCTATAAATATTTTCATGTTAATTGTTTTAGGGATCTTTCCTCTATAATACCTACACATTATGACTTTAAGCGCATTACTAGATTGGAGACAAGGTTCAATCCCACAATTGAAAGGCTAGATATAAGCGTAAGTTCTATATTAACACATTCATCTCTTGTACTTCTCGCTTTTCGAACTCTCTTCCGGCTTCTTTCTTCTAAGTCAACTTTTATCTTCAAAAATTTAAATTCAATATGAATTGTTCTTTTATTGTCCTCTCTCATTAATAGTGTTTTTTCTAATATTCCCTAACACTCAGAAATCCTTTTGTGTCTTAGTGTCTTTATTATCTTGAATGAACTTTGAAACGAGAACACTCGATACCCGTAGATTAAATAAACGGTTTAATTCAAAAGTTCCTGGATTGACAATCATCTGAAGAAGAGAGAAAGACACAACAGCCAAAAACGTTGAGATAATAACAACAAATAACATTGGCCCGAATGTAAATGATGATAATTTCCATATTTCAAATCATCCGATCACTCCGAGTGGGCGTTATACTGGCTGCATAAAAAAAAAAACAGGGATAAAGGGTCTCTGCCAATGATATATATACCCCTTTCCTATCCAATTTATTTGTCATTTCATATCATTTTCTTTTTCAAACTCACATCCATACATGACGTGTATTAGATGACCATTTAATTAGTCTCCTTAATGACGTTGTCATTCCATATTGAACCTTTGATCACGCCACCTATTACCTTCTTTCGTCAAGCCGTATTGCTAAATGTATGACACAGGAATAACAATAAGTTTTGTTTAGTTGATTGATTGATTAATTGATTCTTTTTCTACGGTTTATCATCCTTTTGCAGAATATTTAAAGATATAAAATATTTTTAGATTGTAAGAATTCTTTTGCTATAATAATGGTTTAGTGGTACAATTCTTACTCATTAATCCATAGTTGGGGGAGAAGAGATGGATTCATACCTTTCTCAATGGCATTTGCACTTAAGTGAATATAATGAACACAACTGGAAGAACTCGACTCTCTCATTACGAATTCCAAGCCATTATCAATTAATCCACCTGCACATCCAAGCTTACATCACTTGGTATTCCCAAGTGGTTACCCATCTAGGTACTGACCAGGCTCCACGTTGCTTAACTTCGGTGATCGTATGGGAACTGGTGTTTCAACGTAGGCCTTTTCTTTAGTGTTGTTCACCCAATACATGCACAAGTTACTAAATGAGGTTGCTTTAAAAGGGGAATTATTGTCTACTTTGTTGACTTGTTAACCACTGATTTACCAGTATATTGAGTAATAAATTTAATCTACTGGAAAATCCTTTATTATATTGTATTGAATTACAAAACATAATCTGCCACAGAGCCAAAAGTGTAAAGCATCTCGTGAAGACATTGGCCTATTGGTTGAACTTTCTAATTATTAGCCAATGGTATATTATTTGATGCATTCCGTAGCACATAGTTTTTCTTTTGTAGGTAACCACACACACTACAGACGTAGAAACAGCTGGAATAGGTGTGTCTATGTCTGACGTAGCTCATGTCTCTTCAGTGTGTTTTTCGAATTCAGTTGGCTTTCTTCTAGTAGAGTTGCCTCTCCACAACTACAGGGACCATTCTTCCTTATGGTTTCACCCACAACTAGAGGGAGAATAGAAAGACTTTATGTGTCTCACCTCAGATGATGAGAAAATAGACTTTGCATTCAGTTGTCCATCAGAGAAGTAAAGGGCATTAGCGAATTAAAATGAGAGATACCCTCCTAGGTTACAGGTGTAAAACTGTGTCTTCATTTGATATCATTAGCTGCCCCCGATATGTAAGCATATGATGAATTCAACTATGCCTGGGGTGTACACACTTGAGGTGAGGAAAATCGTATGTCAGTTAAAAAAAGGAGAAAAATTAGAGTATCTTATATCTTCGCGAGAATATAGAATCCACGTTAGGAGAATACCCCCAAACCACAAACACAGGCGCCGAAAGTAATTGTCAAAGTGGTGGTAGCATCTTTTAGGGTCCCAAGTACGGGCAAATAGTTAACCCAAAAACTGGTGTAAAATACTATGAAAGTATAAAAATAAATTTTTATTGTAAAAATACCAGCAATACATTTTTGAAAATATATTGCTAGCAATATATTTTTGAATGGAAAAAAAATTATTACCAGCAATTGTTGACTCTCGACAAAAACTCTTGACTCTCGACAAAACCCTCTTTACAAAAATAAGTCAATGAAACCTGCCTAAAAAATAATTTTTTACAAAGAACGCATATTCTATTCATACGAACCTATCTCCAAAATCTTGGTATTAAATAACCCATTGAGGTGTTGATATGTCGTAAAACAAAATAAACTAGACCAAACCAAACCAAAGATTCATGCCTTTCCCAATGGAATTAAATCTAAACATGTTACATAATATCAGTCGTCCTGTATGGCAGTGAATGCTGGGATCCACTCACCGATGAAGAAGAGACTCGAAGCAACAGAAATGTGGTTCTACAGAAGGATGCTGAGAATACCATGTCGAAAATGTGAACAACGACAAAGTTTTAAATAAAATGGAAACAAAAAGGAAACAAATATTTAACATCAGGAAGAGACAGTTGAAATTTCTAGGGTACACAATGAGGAAAGAGGGCTTGGAAATGTGATACTCAAATAACAGATTAAAGGCTAGAGGGTCAGCGGAAAACAACGCATAACGTACTTAATAAGCTTGAGTAAATAGATGGCGTAACAAGTTTTAGGAGAAATAACAAAAAGACATAATTTATTAAGAGCTTCAAGGGACAGGAAATTGTGGAGAGCCATGACTGCCAACATTATGAAGGTGCACGGCACATAGAAATAGAAGAAAGGAAGACAGCCACATCCGAAATTTGAACTCGTTTTGGTGATTTCATTTTTCCAAATCAATAAGCATTATAAAAATTGCATTGTCGAAGTTAAGTATCCATAAAATAGCTAACAATGATAGATTAGTTTGGCACAAGGATATTATCATTGAGCTTTCATTAATCATCAAAATCACTAGCGAACTGGTCTGAATATTTAGATTATTCATAGTTATTAAGCTTAATAATTCATATGGTCAGATTTAGTTTAACCAGAGGACGATTGTGTTGCGCCAATAAAGTTTTCATGCTCACAGCGTTGTGAACTCTTTGTAATAAAAAAATATAATTACATAAATACGATTTGAGGACTCTTTAAAACAAACGAATGTTGTCTGAGGTCCCGCCCCAATTTGTATTCGACCCCCTTGCTGACGTTACTGGTTATTTGGAATTACTATCTCTGTAGGCAAATCGTGTAACGCCCATGCTAGACCAATAAAAATAACCCTGACAGTGGAGATCTCTGGAAATCACAACTTAAATCTACAGGATTTTTTTTTCATACACAGACATTTATTCAAGCTTTAAGAGGGAGTTTTTTTTTTTAAATAACCAAATTACAACAATCAGTGTTATCTAGAATACTACGAAACAACTTTGGGCGGAAACAAATATATAGTCATCAGGCGTTCCAGAACGCGTCTAAGATAAAATAACGAATCCAATCAATCAGCTATGTAATTTTTGCCTGTTTCACTGAAATATTTGGTTAATTCATAAGTAATTTCTGTTTTAGGGAATCGATTGTAATGACGTCGTATCTAACCGTTCCTTAAATTTATAACAGGCGATGTAAAGTGGGTTGCATACCACAATATTCAACGAAAAATGCAGTGGATTGTCAAGGATAAATCTCTACAAACGACCGTAAAAGAAACGGCCATGGAAAAAAGTTAATGTGTGGTAAGATCGCAGGACTATTATTCATTTACATTTCTTAAAAAGCAATGAAAGATTAAATGCACATTTATACTCTCAGCAATTGCAACGTGTCGAAAAAATGTGATCAAAAATCTCTCTGCGCTTGCCAGTAGGAAAAATATTATTTTCCTCTGTTACAACGCATTGCTACATATGGCAAGAATAACACAAGACAAAAAATGTCATTTCGGCTCTGATCTGTTCTACCCGACCCGCCATATTTATCAAAATTGCACCAATCTTTATCGATCGCTGCAAAATGTTTTGATGCGGAATTTTTCTCTAACGAAAACCAGATTAAAAAATTCATCGTAAACGTTTTCGCAACAAGACTTTCGGAATTTTAGTCAAAATGTACCGAAGAGCTGCCTGAAAAATGGCAACAAGCCACTGTAAGTAATTGTGAATATATAATTGAATAATATGGAATTTTGCTTTATATTTTGAGGAATAGAGTTGAGGAATAAAACCGGAAGATATTCAGGATTCAATCTAATACAATTAATAAAGCATGTTTTAAATACGATCATCTTTTCATTGATACTTCTTTCCCATAATAATTATTTCATTTAGAGTTTCAATTTTATTCCGAAACAATTACATAAATAAATGAAACCAAAATAAATGATAAACTTAAAAAAATGAAATACTGTTATTCGGGTATAATACGCACTTTTCTAGACTTTAAGTTGGTACCCCCACTTTTCGCTAAAAAAAAAGGGCATGAAGAAAAAGGCCCAAACTTGGTGAAAACAAAGTTTTAACGTTAAAATATGTGTGTTTATTATTAAAAGAAATGTAATTTCTTATCATTTTATTAATATTTTTAAATCCTTCTAACACGTTCGAAATTTTGGTTAAAAATCTTATTTTTCTTGCGTCAGTTGTGGGCAAAATTTTACTATGGGAAATTTTTGAAAACTTTTTCAAAGATCAAATCATTGCCAGATTTTAAGGAGATTTTCAGAACTTAATCACAAATCAATGAAATTATTTTGAAAATTCTTTTTTTTTTAGAAAGTCTTGATAAAAATATATTTTTGCATCTGTTAGTCTGTCTTAATTTTATGAGAAATTAAATTTTGATCCGCTTATATTTTTATTTTAGTTAAAAGCAGGACTTATTGGAGAATGTAAATCTTCAATTTTGTTTTTCAAACAGTTACACATTTACCGAAAATCTGCCCCGAATCTTAAAATAAAAATGCAATGAAACATTAGTTAATTAGAAAAGTTGTTTTTTCTTTATTTCTTTTATAAATAAGATATTATAATACTATTGTCATAAGAAAAAAAATGGATGAATAATGAATTTTTACAAAAATAGTTTTCCTTTTTCATTTTAATTATAATAATTTATAAAGTTTTAAATCTTTTAAAATTATGTTCTAAATTTAGTCTTTTAGATTACATTATTATTAAGTAAAAACTATATTTACTAATCATAAATGGAAAAGTCTGATACAAATCATCACTCACCAATATTTTAAAAATAATTTAGAATTATATTTATTAGTGTATAAGCGTGTCCATTTTTATAACTACAGTCGACCATACGCGGCATTATCAGAAAATAAGAGCAATAACTATATTAAATTTTATAACGAAATTTTAAAATTTAGTAAAACATTATATTACGGAGAATATTTTCCTAAAATTTAAGATTTATAAAAATAAATAAAGTCAAATATGAGTTCTTAGTTATGTAGCAGTTAATTTTTATATAAAATACTAAATTAAAATATTATAACTTAAAAAATAAAAATCTTTTTTTTTCATTTGTACATATTAAAATAAAAAAATTGCAAAGCATATTCGAATTTGGAACCTTGTAAATCAACAGTGAAAAAAATATTTTGAATTTACGCAGCTACGGTGTATGCATTCGCAAATATTTCAACCCCCTGAAGATAGTCTCAGATGAGATTGAAAGTACTTTGGAAAAATAAAAATTATTTGAAAGAAAATTTGGGAATTTTCCTCATCAATTTTCTACAGCCACCAAGAATTAATTTGTGGGCTTGAAAGGATTAAAACATTAAATATTAAAATATATATATATATATATATATGATGACTAAATAATATTTTCCGTAAGAGCCAATCCCTGTTGCAGACGCTTGCTCAGAGACATTTGTATATTTTCAACACCCACGTAGTTAATATGTGACTTATACTGCAATAATTATGAACGAGTCTTTGTTCCTTATAATATGATGTGGTCAACAACTTGAAAAAATACTCGGTCACGATGACTTGTGAGTTCCTGTTAGCACAATCATCAGCGACTTCTGAACAGTTCCGTTTCTTAAATTTCACTCACAAATCTTGGGTGAGTGTGACTTTC